TCTTTGCCACAGCTGACACTGCTGGACTTGCCTACGTGAAGTCCGAGCTGCAGAAGAGACACACGTGCACAGACCTGGGTGAACTGCGCAGCTACCTTGGCTTGCAGATCACCCGAGACAGAGCACGCCGCACCATTACCCTGACTCAGTCACACATGGTGCAGCAGGTCCTTCAGCGCTTCGGCTTCACGTACTCCTGGCCTCAGGCCACTCCTCTGCCTACTCGCCACTCGCTCTCAGCTCTGCCTTTGGTTGAGTCCGTAGAGTCGAGTGGCCCGTATCCAGAGCTTGTTGGCTGCCTCATGTACCTGATGACCTGCACACGACCTGACCTTGCATACCCTCTTAGCATTCTCGCACGCTATGTTGCTCCTGGGAGACACCGACCAGAGCACATGGCTGCAGCGAAGAGGGTGTTGCGCTACTTGTGCAGCACGTCGGGCATGGGGCTAGTGCTTGGAGGGCGGAGTCCAGTGGTCCTCACTGGGCATGCAGCCGCTTCTTGGGCTGACGACCAGGCTACGCAGCGATCGTCACAGGGTTACACCTTCAGCCTTGGTTCCGGCTCTGTTTCGTGGCGGGCTACTCGCTCGTCCTCTGTTCTTGGCTCCAGTTGTGAGGCCGAGATCTACGCAGGGGCCATGGCTGCACAGGAGCTTTGCTGGCTCACCTACCTGCTGACTGACCTCGGAGAGCCGCCTCTTTCTCCTCCAGTTCTGTACGTGGACAACAAGGCCATGCTGGCCTTGTGTCGAGAGCAGAGACTGGAGCACAGAACAAAGCATATTGCTCTCCGCTACTTCCTTGCTCGTGAGCTATACCAGCGTGGTCAGTTGCGGCTTGCGTACGTGGCCTCTGAGGCCAACACTGCTGATGACTTCACCAAGGCACTTGCGCCTTGTGATCATCAGCGCTTCTGCACTCAGCTGGGTCTTGTGCCTGTCTTGCCTCACTTGCTCACCTCTTGACCTTGCTTGTACTGTTACATATATATATACATGCTCTTTCTTGTCTAGCTTTATATATATATGTGTACTCTTGCATGTGAACTGGCCTTGTGGCCTTGACCTTGCGCTCGGAATGTGTGGTGACTTTGAGATCCACCCTGAGCTTGCTTTGCTTTGCTTTGCTTGACTGGTCTTGTGACCCCTTGTTCTCCCCCACTTTGCCTATGGGGGTGTGTCGGAACATTGTAGCTTATACATATTGTGTAGGCTGTAGTGGGGTATCCCATAGGGGGTACAACCCAATTAGGGTTAGTACTTGTACCCACTTCTTTCATAGTTCATTCATCCTCGTTTCGTCTCAGAACTTTCAGACGAGTGCAAACGCCACGTATGATTGTCCAGCTGAAATAGATAGTGCTGTCTGTTTTTTTTTCAAATGGCATCATGTAGTGTATTACCGCATATCGATTCAGGGCGACACAACCTAAATGTGGAAGGTTGTTGGGCAGCTTGCGGCATGCTGAGGGCAGGGGGGGTGGGTGTTGGGCTGCGACAAGGACTTCGGGGGAGTTCGGCTGGGGGTGTTGGGCTGTTGCGAGACATTTCGAGAGGCATGGGAAAGCGGGCTAGGCTAGGAGCGGGGACCTGGGGAGGGGACCTAAGGCTGGGGGAAAGGGGGAGAAGGGCTGGACTAGGCCAGTAATATAGGGACGAGGAGCGAGGGTATCAAATGGGGGCTGCGCTGTTAGAGAAGCGAGGGATCGGGGGGGAAGAAGTGGGGGGGGGAGAGGGGATTGGGGTCGATATCAGACAAAATGCAACCCCCTATCTGAGATTTCAGACGAAGTATAAGGCTTCCTCTGAAAAATCAGATGAACTGAAATTCGTAATCTTACAGATCAGAGGAAGTAAAAATCGTCGTCTTGAAAATCAGATGAAAACAAAAATCAAGGTCTGAAAATCAGAAACTCTGACCAATTTGGTCTGATAATGAGAGCCCTGCACCCCACCCACACAAACAAGCGTTGTCGCTTCTTACCACTGGCATAAAACCGAGATTCGTTGTCGGCGACACGCCATGTCGCCTCATTGGTTGTTTCACCCAATGAGGCGACACTCAGTTTGTAGAAGTAGTAGGCACTGAGGAGGTGTGTTGTGAATGTGATGCTCTTCCAGAGCTCATGGACTTTGTGAGTGCTATGCTACTTTATTATGTCATTGTAAATAACAAGGTTAGCTCACAAAACAGTAACTGAAACAGGGTTGGCCTTAAACTACCCTGCTCAAATCAGGCTAGTGGTTGATTCACCCTGCTGCAAACAGGGTACGAAAATTTTTACCCTAGGGGTCGGGGTAAGGAGGGGCTGGAACCCTGATTTGTAAGGGTTGGCTTAAACCAATTTTGGGCCATGAGTCCACCTTATGCAAAGCATAAGAGCTATATAGACAAAGAAATGTACATTGTAATAGGACAATGTACAGTACCGTAATCTCCTGGATAGTAGACCCTAGGGTCTTATGTAAAATTCATAAAAAAATAGGGGGGGGGGTCTTGTCAACGGCACAAGATTGTTTAGTACCCGGGTCTTATTAAATTGATATAATTTTTAAAGGTGTACGTAATCGAATGCCTCATTGACGAGGATGCTTGATATTCTTTTTCTCTGTTGTTTGGGTAGCACATGTGCGACTTCTGCGATGTAGCCACATCACATAGGGGAATCAGTTTGTGGCCTTCTCATTGGCCAAAATCGCACGTTACCACATTCCAGCATTGAGGTTCGCGTTGTGGCTCGTCAGCGTGCCATCCCACCTCGACACCCTGACACATGCACGGCTCGAGCGCAGAGGCTGCACGGTGGCCCGTGCAGCAACCCCTACTGTTCAATGGGAGGCATGTCAATCCTTTCACCCCTTGTTGCCCCCTAAATCTCTGAAATGCAAACCGTGAATAGGTTGCATTGGTGTCAAGCTTGTCTTGCTAGTGAAGCACTTGAAAAGACATCTTATTCCCATTATGAACTAGTGAAAACCATAAGGAAGGGGGTCTAGTATTGTTTACTCCTCTAGGGGGGGGTATAGGGAAAACCTGCCAAAATAAAAGACCCACCCCCGTAATACGGACCCGGGGGTCTTGTATTCCGGGGGGTCTACTATCCGGGAGCTTACGGTATGTGAAAGTTGCCCAACAAAAACATACGTAAAAGAAATATACGGCACCATACCGTCACCGCCCGGATATAAGACATGTATGTCTTATCTCATACATTAAAAAATCAGTCTTATAAATGGACAAAAATCCGTTTAGAAGATACTTCCTCGTTATACATTTGTCATTTGCCCCTACACACAAATAGGTGTCTTATAATGAGGCTACCCCGTTTATAAGAGACACCCGTATAATAGACAACCCCTGTCTACCAGGCCCCACGTTTTCCGAGTAAATTACTCTGTTTCTCTAAAAATCAGAGTCATTTTTTAAAGGAACTCTGTACCTGCTGGGTTTTGCTTTTGAAAGTTTAGTTTTCTCTGATTTATCAGAGTTTTCTTGTAGGCTACTCTGAGCTCTCTAGGTTTTTATTCTAAGGACCGAGTTTACTCTGTACAGAAGATACATGCCCCCTAGCCACCCCCCCCACCTCCCCCCCCCCCCCCTCCCTCCCCCCCTCTCCCGAATATCGGGTTTTCCCCAAGTCGCCGAGAACACCATCCAGATTTCGTTCGAGTGTTGGCGCCAAGGCCTGCTAGTGCTCGGCTGGCTCACAGTTTCTCCACCCATTTCCCCAATCCGTCATCAGGTGCCTTGCGTACCCCAACATCACAGCCACGCGTCTCCCCACTCTGTTCCGCACCCTGTTCGATGCAGACAACGCTGACGCTGCTGCGCCTGAACCTGATCCCGGCCCGTCATGCAGCTCTCGCCCTATGACTGGTCTGAAGTTTCTGAAAGGCGTAACAAATTACCCATACAGATCATACACCTTACCGTAGTAAACTAACATCAGAGTAAAGCAAAATATTACTCTGACGTGCCTGAGTTTTTTTCCCAAAACATAGGGTTACTCTGACAACTCAGAGTGAGGCGTAAGGACAACCCTAGATTTCAGAGTTGGCAAAAAAACCACTCTGGAATTCAGAGTACCTAAAATCCAAAAGTAGGCCCTGCTGTCTACTATTCAACACTGTCTTATATCCGGGTGATGACGGTAAATGATAGTGGGCACTGTGAAAATGATTACCACTTTATTGTGGCATCGCGTGACATAAAGCACAAAAACAAAATATCAGATTAACATTTGATGTACACATTTGATCACTATACTGCAAAATTGGATGCCATGTGGCAGTATTTCTGGCACGAACCATTTGCCATGGGAGTAGTGCAAGGTTGGGACCTCTCGACCTCAAGAGTGAGGGAACTGTTGAGCAACGGGGAACCCTCACACATGGCATTCACCCTCCATGTGATGGCACAGCCACCAGCATGAGATGGGACCCAGTCACAATGGACTGTCAAAATTTGCAGGTACTATCACCACCACCACCACCACCACCACCATACCACTTGATGCTTCACGCTCGCCTTCCCCCTCCCACGACCCCTACCCTCCCTCATCCTTCACCCCTCCAGTCTTGTTATGGACAACTAATCAAAATTGACCCAACAATCATTCTCTTGAGCTGCTGTGCTCCCAAAACAATGTGTCTCCGTCCCTGTCCGGTGCCACTGGAGGATGGCAGGACTGCCTCTCACCCTTGCCCCCTTCCCCTGCCCCTCTGACCCCTGCCCCCTGTCCCCTGCCCCCCTGACCCATGCCCCCTGCCCCCTGCCTCTGCCGGTGCCGCTGCACTCCCCCTAGTGGTGCCGATTCGTAGCGCTGCTGTGGACAATGCAGCAGGCGCACGGCACATCATGCACACGTGCATGCGAGCAGGCATGTCAAGCCAAGCCCAAACACCCCACTGCTCACAACCCCTTCACCACCCCCCCCCTCACTTGCCCCCTGCTCCTCTCACTTGCCCCCTGCTCCGCTCACTTGCCCCGTGCTCCCCTCACTTGCCCCCGGTGCGCTTGAGCGAGGAGAAGAAGCCTCCTCGCCTCTCCCTGCGCCTCTGCTCGCCCTCGCCCTCCTCCTCCACCTGCGACTCGGGCACCACACAGGCACAGGGCACACAGTGGCCAGGGAAGCACCGGGGAAAATTATATAGTTGAGGATGAGGCAAACGATGAATCAGTTGGCACATGTGATTCACGCGGAGCACACGCAGCATGACCCGATGCCCCGATGCCCCGATGCCCTGATGCCCCTTCTCATGTGCCATGCCCCTCCTCATGTGCCATGCCCCTCCTCATGTGCCATGCCCCTCCCTTCCCACGCACCACATGCATCATGCATGAGTCAGCATCGTCGAGTCACCATCGGCACATGCTTTGCTGGAGATCTTCGCCTGGTTCTTTCTAGTCACGATTCACATGTTTTCAAAGGAAACCCATCACTTGTGTAGTCGCAGACATGAAAACGTTTCAGGTGACTCTACAGAGTAGATGATCTTACATGTGGCCCTGGGGCTACGTAGCTTGACCATGCAGGATTTCAGCAGACCTGTCACACTGCAACGGCCCTTGCAGGAATAGAGCTCACACTCGGCAATGCCCCCCCCTCTCACCTCGTGTGCCATGTCAGCCAGCAGGCGCAGCACCATGCTGAACTCGGGGCGCTCAGCGGGGTTGGTGTGCCAGCACCGCACCATCAGCTCTGCCACCCGCGGGTGTGTTCCCTTGGGGATGGGCGGCCGCAGCCCCTGCCGTGGGCGGACGGGGGACAGGGGGGTGGAGGGGCGAGAGCACGAGCAGCAGTGCAGAGTGTGAGTTGGTGCGGCTGTGGAGAGAGTGTGGGTTGGTGCAGCGTGTGCAACCTTATGACCAGGTCACAGCCACTCCCACACCCGGTTCTCACAATTATTCTCACAGCAAACCCTCACAACCGCTTCACACCACTGCTCACCTTTTGCACCACACTGACAGCTGCTTGCAGAGGTGTGAGATCCGCATAGGGCAGCTGTGGCATGTGGCCCGCACACATGCACACACACAACAACAGGCACATGCACACGTGCACGCACGGAGAGTGAGGGAAGAAGGGGAAGTATGAAACTTGGGAGCTGATTCATACACATGTGCCTGCACGACGACCTTTGTTTGCAAGGCCGCTTGCCCTCCAAAGACCCCTATCTCGCCCTCATCCCCCCACCCCTCCCCACCTTGCCAGCAAGCAAGGTGAGACGAGCAGCCCACCTCACGCCCATTCCCCATCGCACCTGCCCCATCTCTCCGAGACCCCACCCACGTGGCCCACATGCACCAACCCCACCCACGTGGCCCACATGCACCAACCCCACCCACGTGGCCCACATGCACCAACCCCACCCACGTGGCCCACATGCACCAACCCCACCCACGTGGCCCACATGCACCAACCCCACCAACCCCACCCACGTGGCCCACATGCACCAACCCCACCCACGTGGCCCACATGCACCAACCCCACCCACGTGGCCCACATGCACCAACCCCACCCACCAGCCCACATGCACCAACCCCACCCACGTGGCCCACATGCACCAACCCCACCCACGTGGCCCACATGCACCAACCCCACCCACGTGGCCCACATGCACCAACCCCACCCACGTGGCCCACATGCACCAACCCCACCCACGTGGCCCACATGCACCAACCCCAGCGCAGCGCAGCGCACCTTGCCGGTGAGCAGCTCCCACAGCGTGATGCCAAAGCTGAAGACATCCGCCTTGTGGTCGTACGCGCGGTGCTCTATCACCTGCCATGCCACCACCATGGTGCATCGTGCATGGTGCAAGGGGCATGGGACATGTGACTTGATCTAAGGGAAGGCACATGACACTTCAGAAAGATTCACCGTGCACCAAGATTAAGCGATTGAGACGTATCTTAAGCTTATGTTTTGTATAAATTGTATGTACATTACTGAAGATGATTCTCTGCACTAAGAGTAATGCGTTACTTAAGCGCATCTATCTTCCGTACTGAGTGTAAGCGCACTGCTTGTGTTTATGTTTGCATGAACCGTCAGCACCCCCACCTGTCTCCAGCGGTACGTGCCGGTCTCACCTCGGGCGCCATCCAGCGGTACGTGCCGGTCTCGGCCGTCATGATGCCGCTGCCCGCCTTCACCCGCGCCACCCCAAAGTCCGCCACCTTCACCACCTGTGCGAGGGGCAGGGAGGTGGGGGGTGGGAGGGAAAGGGAATGGGCAAGGCTATGGGCCTTAGGTGGGGAATGAGTGGCGGGACGGCAGATGGGAGCAGGCAGCAGGGGCAGTAGCAAGAGTGAGCAGCGCACCTCGTTTTCGTCCATGAGCAGGTTGGCGGCCTTGAGGTCGCGGTGGATGATGTTGTTCTTGTGCAGAAAGTCCATCCCCTTGGCCACGTCCATGGCCACGCGCACCACCATGGGCAGCCGCATGCTGCCGCGCTGCTTGTGAATGTAGTCGTACACACTGCCGCCCACCATGAACTCTGGTTAGTCACACGCACGCACACGCATGCATGCACGCAAGCACACACTCACGCACGCACGCACAAACATAGACACACACACACACACACACACACACACACACACACACACACACACACACACACACACACACACACACACAGACCAAGAATGGAGGGAGAGGAATCGCAGGATGGCATGGCACTGCACAGGTTGGTGACACGGATGCAATGAAACATTAGCAGAATCCTCTGATTATTCATGCGTCAAATCAAAGGAAACATCTGATTCTGGCACACCGTTCCTGTGACTAATTGGCGTGCGTACCTGTGACTATAGAGAGGTTAGGCGGCTTGGTGCAGGCTCCAATGAATTGCACCACGTTCTTATGGCGAACCTTCCTGTTGAGACCACGGGTTGAGGCGAGGGTTGTGCACAGACGATGAACATTGTGCCGGGAGACGATGAACATTGTGCCGGGAGACGATGAACATTGTGCCGGGAGACGATGAACATTGTGCCGGGAGACGATGAACATTGTGCCAGGAGACAATGAACATTGTGCCGGGAGACGATGAACATTGTGCCGGGAGACGATGAACATTGTGCCGGGAGACGATGAACATTGTGCCGGGAGTGATGGTAGTGAAGCGGGTCAGGCAGACAGTCATACATGACGACAGGGACGAGGGGGTCACATGGAATTACATCGCACTGGCATCACACAGCATGACCTCATGATGCACACCTCACCTCATGATGCACACCTCACCTCATGATGCACACCTCACCTCATGATGCACACCTCACCTCATGATGCACACCTCACCTCATGATGCACACCTCACCTCATGATGCACACCTCACCTCATGATGTACACCTCACCTCGTGATGTACACCTCACCTCATGATGTACACCTCACCTTATGATGTACACCTCACCTCATGATGTACACCTCCTGGGCGAACTCCTGCTGCAGCGAGTCGTTGAGGCGCTCGGGCTTTAAGATCTTGATCGCCACGTCCTGCCCGCAGTACGTGCCCCGGTACCTGGTGCCATGCCATGCCATGCCATGCCATGCCACGCCATGCCATGCCATACCATGCCACCCGCGCCATGCCATGCCACGCCATGCCATGCAGTGCAATGCAAAGCCATGTTGCACGCAGTGACAAGCGCACAAAGTGAGCAGGAGAGGGCAGCTTGAGTTAAAGCCAATCGGGTGGGCTGCCTGCAGCACCCCCAACCCCCTGTGCCCTGCATCCCAAGGGTGGAGCATAACGCACAGGTCACCAAAGGAGCCGGATGCGATCTTGTGGTGCAGCTTGAGCTGCTGGCTGTCGATCTCCCAATCGTCCCGCCCGTCCGTGGGGATGGGCACGCGTGACTCCGCCCCCGACACCAACGACCCCGCCCCCTGCCCGCCTGCCCCCAGCCCCCCCATGCCCGCTGACTCCGACCCCGCGGGGCCAGGCCCTGACTGCATTGACTGGCCGGACGCCTCTGGCTGCATGGAGAGCGCTGCGCCCGCCCCCATCTGCCAGGTGATGGGGCGTGAGTGAGAGGGTGTGTGAATGCGTGAGGGCAGGTGGCGGATATCGGGAGAGCATGAGAATGGTGTGAATGCAGCGCGCCAGGGATGGGCAAAGAAGATAGTGTGTGCATCCACATGACATCCGTGCAGTGCGGTGCAGTGCAGTGTAGTGAGATGCAGGGGGTGCAGGGGGTGCATGGGGTTAGTAAGGGCAAGAGTGGAGCAGGGGCGGGCGGGAGTGGGGCTGACCTGCAGCACGCGCACCAAGGCTGCATGCAGATCCACCACGTCCTGATGGCCGCGCACATGCACATGCACATGCACATGCAGGGGCGCGAACTCACACATGGGGGCACACGGGGGCGCAGAGGGGCACACGGGGGCGCAGAGGGGCACACGGGGGCGCAGAGGGGCACACGGGGGCGCAGAGGGGCACAGCAGGCAGCACGTCACGCGGCACAGACGAGATGGGAGGGGTTGGGAGCGGAGGACAATGGCCATGGCACGACCGTATGGAGAGAGGCAGTGGAGGGTGCGAGCACAGAGAGTGGCAGTGGGGGGTGCGAGCACAGAGAGTGGCAGTGGGGGGTGCGAGCACAGAGAGTGGCAGTGGGGGGTGCGAGCACAGAGAGTGGCAGTGGGGGGTGCGAGCACAGAGAGTGGCAGTGGGGGGTGCGAGCACAGAGAGTGGCAGTGGGGGGTGCGAGCACAGAGAGTGGCAGTGGGGGGTGCGAGCACAGAGAGTGGCAGTGGGGGGTGCGAGCACAGAGAGTGGCAGTGGGGGGTGCGAGCACAGAGAGTGGCAGTGGGGGGTGCGAGCACAGAGAGTGGCAGTGGGGGGTGCGAGCACAGAGAGTGGCAGTGGGGGGTGCGAGCACAGAGAGTGGCAGTGGGGGGTGAGAGCACAGAGAGTGGCAGTGGTGGAGGAGGGGAGGGTTGGTCTACTTTTGAAGCGCCTCAAAAGAGGCAGTGGTGGAGAAGGGGGGGGTTGATTGCGAGGGCGGACCTCGGTGGGCCAGCCGTCGACGACGAAGACGTCGAGGGAGAGCCCGTCGGACGTGGAGAACACGTGCGCCTCCCTTATGTTCAGCCCCGCGTCCGCCAACACCGCTGACAGCTGCCACGGGGGGGAGGAGAGGGCAGGTGGGCGGAGGGGCGGGGGGAGTGATGAAAAAGTTGAAGGGGAAAAGGGGTTCCGAGGAAGGGGATTTGATGCTGTGCTGAGCTGTGAATTCTCGGTTAAGCGCTTGTCAACCACCTGGCTGAGCACTTATCACCCACCTGGCTGAGCACTTATCACCCACCTGGCTGAGCAATTATCACCCACCTGGCTGAGCACTTATCACCCACCTGGCTGAGCGCTTATCACCCACCTGGCTGAGCACTTATCATCCACCTGGCTGAGCACTTATCACCCACCTGGCTGAGCAGCTTGGGGCGGTCGAAGGTGGAGAAGGTGACTTCGTGCATGGGCACGTTGTAGTACGGCGCACTGCCATGGCGGAGGGGGAGGGCAGGGCGCATGGGGGAAAGGAGAGAGGAGAGGCATGAGGCACGGGGGAGAGGGGGGAGGGAGACGAAGTGAGGCAGACGGACGCATGGCAGGCAGGTGGCATTCATTCATTCACCCGCCCCCACCCCCCCCCGCAGCACACGCCTCTCTTCCCGCCACGCCAGCCACAGCCTCACCGCCCTCTCCCCCACCACTACATCTCGTCTCATCGCCACCACGCCCCACCCCCACGCCCCACACGCCACGCCCCACGGCACGTGTGGCAGCCCGAGCACCTGAGGTCGGCGTGGCGGTGGTCGCCCATGGCACCGCCGTGCCCGCCGCCCGCCACCGGCTCCTCCAGATTCGGCGACGACCCAAACGCTGGCGGCGCTAGCGCGCTGCTCCGCGGGGGAAGAGAGGGAGGGAGGGGGGGGGGGGGGGTGGAGGGGGGCGAGGGGGAGGGGGGAGAGGGAGGGGGGACAGGGGAAGGGGGAGAGAGAGGGGGCGGAACCGAAGGTTGGAGGGAGGGAAAGGGCGAACGGCAAAAGGCAGGGACAAGGAAGATTGGCGTGAAGGGGAGGGAAGGAGGTGCAAGCACGGAGGGGAGCAAGGAGAGAAGGGGGAGGAAGGGCACGAAGGGTTGTCGGGGGACGGTTACCCGTGGGGCGGCAGGGCGGGATGGTGGTCGTCCGTCTCCATGCTCGCGTGCTGCCCCGCCTCCCCCGCTGCCGCCATCTGCGGGGAAGCGCGCCACGCACGTAAGGGGGACGCACACGCGCACGCATGGGGAGCTGCACATGACCGCCTCAACGGCGCGCTTGCGCCGGCGCGCATTGCACTGCGCTAGGCAGGCCTTACGACAGGCGGGAGTTGGGGTAGGCGGGGGGAGCGCAATGAGGGATGAAAGCAGAAGCGAGTAGGGGGGAGGCGGGCGGGGGGCAGCGGGGGCGCGCGCGTACCCGGACGGCGCGGACGAAGAAGACGGGCAGCCCGTGCAGCCGCGCCGCCTCCTCCAGCAGCCGCTTGTGCGTCAGCACGTCCTCCGCGCGCTCCGTGTTCACGTCCAACGCATACCTGCCGCCGCCAAGCACGCCGAGCAATGGTAACATTGGTATGCCATGGTATGACATTCATGCCATGCAGCGGACAACCGCACACGGGCAGGCACACAACGAGTCAGGCAAAGCGACAGTGCGACAACTCCCTCCAGTCGCATGGCAGGGATTCGGGCGACGGAATAGCGTGTGTGGGAAGTGCCGCAAAACGCGGCGACGCGTCAAACCCGGAACGAGTGGGAATGGCGCGACTCGCCTGGTGGGGAGGCGGTCGAAGTGCGCGAGGAGGTCGGCGTCGAAGCCGCTGGCCTGCGCGCTCGGGTGGCGCGCCTCGCGCAGCTTGCGGATCACCTCGTCGCACACCTCCCGCTTCACGCGCTGCCGCTGCCGCCTCTCCGCCTCCCCCGCCGCACCTGTCGCTGGGCGGTCGCCGCTCGGGGAGGGGGCGGCGGGATCCATGAGCGCGCTCTACTGGCGGGCTCGCGCGCCTAACGCCGCGCGCATACACCTGGCGGCGCCGCTCAGGCCCACCGCCTCGCACCGCACGCTACGACGAGGTTCAGGCTTGATGGGGGCTTTGGAGGAACGAGGGAGAGGAAGAGCGGAGTCCAGTAAACACGAGGACGCGCGGGCCTCCCAGAAATGAGATGCACACGGAAGGAATGGACGGCCTAATCGTACCTATCCTACCGATCGCGCTGCGCGAAAAAATGTGACGAAGCGTTCGTGATGGTGGTCGAGAGGGGATGGCACCATCGTCGTGCTAGGTGGCGTCGTGCTTGCGGTGCAGTGGGAGCGGGTGGCAGCACCAGCTGATGTCGTCTGTGAACCACACAGGCGTCGTGAACATGGACGCCACTCTGGTCGCTACTCGGGTCACAGTGTTCCTGCAAAACACTGATGCTGTTATGCCAGTCGAGGACCACTGTGGAGCTATGATGAGGCTGGAGCCATGACTGGATGGAAATGCGGAATGTGAAAACGTACGTAAAGTTGAACCAGGCAGCCCAGAACAGCTTGAGCTGGAATTGTCCATGTGGACGCTTTTGGGTGCGCCGTACCCTATTTTCCAGGAGGGTGTTCTCGCCTCTGTATCTTGAAATGAGTTTGTTTGAATCCAGTCAAGTGCTCCTTGGAATTCAAAATACTACAACAGAGCTCATATTCCATCTATTTGCTACTCAGCACGCATGGGGTTTCGAGCAGGAAATGGAGGGGATTTTCTCTAAGTAATTGTAGGGCCTAGGAAACGGCAAAACCCGCCATCCAGGATACATGCAGTTGCCCTTTCGAGTACACTCGTGCTGCCTTCCTATTTACTATTTTCTTCTCCAACCCCACCAATCAGGGCAGCACGTGAGTAAGACTTTCGCTCCAAGCCACAACATTTCGGCTTTGGTGGCTCCAAGAGTTCTGATAGGGCAGCAAGCCAGCGTTCCATTGGAAGATTCTTCCTGACCGCAGCAGCATTTGTGCGCAACGCAAACCCGCCATTCGCCAAAGGCGCGAGCACCAACATTGACCCACAAAGCAGCCATCGCGTGTGTTGGCAGGTCCACTGGCTTCGAAACAACACTCTCCGACAAAAGGGATCTATACAGTCTTGTTCAGCCACCCTTACTATTATTGTATGCATGTTTCCAAGATAAGATTGTTTGTATTATAAACTAGCAAAATTATGAGGGCTCCAGAAACTATTTGACAGCTCAGAAACTTCCAGAGTCTGGCCTTTGGTGTAGACGATACATATCAGCTACACTCTCTCAGCACATATCCTCACATGTGCACTATTTATGGGTCATAACATAACATGAAGTACCAAACCAAGTTCTGCCATGTATTTGCGTTTCATGAGTCATCCAAGTCCTGTACACACATATGCCCAGCCAAATGCTGCTGTGTAAGGCAGTTTACTATGGTACAGCATCTGTTGAGGGTAACAGTACCAGTAATGTAGCCTCCCTTGACACATCACGTGGCATGGCCATGGGCGGTGCGGCGCTTGCTGAGCTCCCTGGCCACCGACTCCGCCACAAACTCCCTCGCCCACTCGCCCCCACCTGCTCCCTCCACCAGCACTGGCGCCTGGGGAAGGAAAGGGAGGAAATGAGCAGAGAGCATGGCATGAGCACGGTGCTGTGAGGTATGGGCAGGTACAATGCGATGGGCAGAGGCATCTGATGCGTGAGGGAGTGCAACGCAACGCACCTGCTGGAGAATGCTCAGGGCAGCATGCGTGCTGGCGAGGCTCGTGCTGTCGTAGGCCAAGGGCTGAGTGGTGTGAGCAGCCTCGGTGGGGCACCATGAGGCGCGGGAGAGCGCCCGTGAGGGCTGCGACAGCGAGCGCGGCACCGGTCGTTGGGGCGCGAGCGACGAGGAGGAGGGGAGCGCTGGTGTCGATGACGGAGTGGCCAGGAGAGATGGGGGCGCAGGTTGCGCTATGGTAGATTGGAAAGGAGGCAGTGCGGTGGAGAGGGGCGAGGAGGGTGAGGATGCGGAAGAGGAAGAGGAGGGTTGTGAGAGCATGCGGCTGTTGCTGAGCTGCTGGCGCAGCTGGGTGACCCGCTGCTCCTCCTGCACGCACGCAGGGTGGAATGGCGGAGGAGACGAGCTTCAGCCATCACCGGGTCAGCACATGCCACTCTGTATTCCCCCATGATAGGCTCATGCATGACATCACGCACTGCATGCATTACCCTCACTCTGCACCCACCACGCCATTACAGTCCAGCCATCCTCATCACGCCATCATCACCATCCCATCCCCTTCCTGTGCGCACCTCAGCTGCTCGCTTCTGAGCGAAGGCAAGGGAGGAGAGCAGGTGGGTGCGGGAGGCGGCGAGGGAGGGTGAGGGCGGGTGGGTGGCGGTGGTGAGGGCGAGCGTGGCGAGCGCTGAGAGGCGCCCCTCCGTCCACTGCACCGCCGCCTCGTACCGCTGCCTGCTCGCCTCCGCCTCCTCCTGTGCTCCCACACAAATAGACACACACGTGAAGGGGAGGGACAGAGGCACGACATACGAGAGGGGCGACAGGCGATGGGCGAGATGCATGAGACACATGGAGGAGAGGGGTGCATGTTGCATGTTGCAGCAAGGCGCACGTCAGCAACTCGCTTCATCTCTCCTCTTTGCCCCCCGACGCACCAGCTTCTGCTCCAGGGGTGACAGCGCCGCCTGCAGCGCCTGCGCCCTGCTCTCAGGGGCTGCTGCGGTGGGCGCGGGCGCGGAGGCGGGTGCTGTGGCGGGGTGTGCTGGTGCAGCGCGAGTGGACTGCTCCGCCTGCCTCAGCGCCGCCAGCACCCTCCCCGCCACCACCGCCGCCGCCGCTGCTGCTGCCGGATCGGCAGCTGCGGCCGTGGCTGCCCCACCCCTGGTGGCCCCCACAGCTGCCGGCAGCGCCATGCCGTACTGCTCTGCCACTCCCTTCAGCCACTCCGGACCGTCGCTCAACCGCACTCCCTCTCCTCCCATCTCTCTCAACCGCGCTCCTCCCACTCCACTGCCCTCCTCCTCCAAGCCCACTGCCCCTCGCCCCCCTGAGCCATCCCCACCCCCCCCTCCCCCACGCTGCTTCCGCCTAGTGGCCCTGCGCCCCTCCACCACCCCCGCCACTCGCCGCCGCAGCTGCATGGTAGGGGAAGGGGAAGGGAAAAGGGAAGAGGAGGGGGGGGGGACATCCAGAGAGGGACGGTTGGTGACACCAAGTGGGACGGATGGTTAAGCTAGGGCGGGTGGCAAATGAAGGAGGAAAGCGCGAAAAGCAGAGCGAAGCGACAGCAATTTCTGATGCTGCCCTCACCTCGGCCTGCTGCGCAGCCGTTGATTGCCCCTCGCGCCCCTCGCGCCCCGCTTCCCCCGTTTCTTCCGCCCGCCCCCGCCTGCCCTGGCGCACCCACGCCATCATCCGCTGCATGCGCCCCTCCAGCGCGGCCACGTGCTGCTGAGCTGTCTGCTTACGTGGAGAACGACTGCCGCCACCTGGACCGACAGCCGGCACAGCTGTAGCAGCAACCACCGCTACAGGCGGCAGCTGCCACGCCACTTCTGCGCTCTGGCCTTCTGCCTCGGGTGCCGTCACTGCTGTCGCTGCTGCCTCCGCCTGCACTGCCTCCGCCCAAACTGTTTCCGCATAAACGGCTTCCGACCGCACTGCTTCCGCCTGCACGGCCTGCGCGGGCATGCTAGTTCCCGCCGCTGCTGCCGCAGCAGCCGATAAGAAGAGCACGCCTAGCCGGGACGCCTGGAGTGCGGGAGGGCGGAAAAGCGAGGGAGGGGAGGGGACGCGGAGGGTCACGGGGCATGGGGCCAGCTATAGCAAGTAGGTCAGGAGATGGGCAGCGGAAGAGCACGGGGTTCGCAGCACAGACGGCGCGCGCACGCACCAGGCGGCTGGGCGTCAGTGGCGCGTCGTCAGCAGCGCAAGCCGCGCCCGGATATCCTTCTTCCGCCCGGCGGGTTCCGCCTGCCGCCTCGACCGCGACGGCGAGGCTCTCCCTCATCGTCATGCCCATTGCGCCCTCCTCCAGAGACGGCGCGCGGAGCGGCGGAACGGCAGAGAGCAACGAGAAGGGGTCGACCGCCGCGGTGTTTCTGGAGGGGGGAAAGCGCGGAGAATAAAGAGAGGTGGCGCAATAGCGGAGACAGAATTAGCGTGCGGCAGGGGGGCGACAAATGGAGTCGTGGCGCGAAGAAACAAGTGGGTGTGTGACAGGGATAGTTCTACTGAAGGGAATTGAAGGCGACGGAAGCAGCTCACCGCGCGGCATCGAGGCTCAGCGCGGCGCGGACTCGCAGCGCCTTCACTCCGCGCGGCGATGGCGGCGGTCGATGCCACGGGCGCTTGAAGGCCGGGCCTGCGGAATGGATGGCTGGAACGATGCGGGGAACGATGCGGGGAACACAGTGGAAGGCGAGCTTCAGTCGCACGCGCTGCAGGGTGGAGATGTTATTCATTGTGTGGGAAAGGTTGTCGCACACGGTGTCATGACGCGAATTGCGAGAAATTTGCGGGGATAGCAAGGCGCTAATTTTCACGTGGAAATTCAGCGCGGATGTCGTCTTGACGCAGTGAGCTTAACAACAGGCAGCGGGGTAAGGAAGGCATCCCAGGCGATGGTCATGGGAGAGACCCAACGCCATGCAGTAGCCTACACGCGCGTGCGACCGCGCGCCGACCCTCACCTGACGGCCTTTGCGCCTCGCGAATCCTCAACCCCGCACTCGCCGCCCGCCACTGAAGGTGAAATTGCCCCCACGAGCACTTGCCCCGCCTACCCCCGCGCGACGCCGCGGGCGGAACCCACTGCCGTGGCGCTACTGCTTGGCTCGCCATAGTCACGATCATTTTCGCTACTTCGTCGTTTGGCTAATAGGCTATCGGTGTTCGCTGCGCAGCTATTGACGTGTGGGGACAAGTGCGACCAAGTGCAACAGAAGATGAGTAAAACTTTTAGAATTCAGGTAAGGCAGAAACGCAGCACAAGTAAGGGAAGTGAAGGATCGAGACGGATTTCCGTGCTAGGATCAGGTAAGTCACGTGTGTGTGGTTGAAGCACAGCAGCTATGACAGCAGGGGCACTGTAAAACCGAAATGCATGCATCTTGACATCGACATTGCACCATTTCCTCGACACTTATTGGCGGGGCTCATTCCCCCCGGTACGCGTCTCGGCTGAGCAACGCGAATCTCAGATGACGCCCTTTCCGCCTCACCGTCACTCCCAATGCCAGCACTGCGCCACATCCGCTTGCTGTCGCGCATCGGCTGTCCTGCCCTCCCAGCCACACAACTGACAGCAACCTCCAACCAACCTCTGGCGACGATTCACGGTCTTTGACGACAACTGTGAACCAATCGACAGACATTGGCGAGGTTCGTAAAGTGCCCAAATAGAATTCAACTATATAGGCGCGATGCGTTTAGATTCTCTGAACACCAACATAGTCAAAGAGTATGAACCACAATATAAAACTAGCTGGTTAATATCAAAACCAGCAACAAAGTCACCCTTGTTAAGCTGACTGCGACTTTCAGGTATAAAACCTTCCTGTCTTGGGAGCTCTGTGCACTGAACTGAAGCCTAGGCGGGAAAATGATTAAAGAAAATGACTAAGCAGGGCTGTACAGCTTCCTTTTGCAAGTTACAGCTTTACAAACAAGGTCAGAATCATCTATCACCCAAAGCCCAATCATATCCATACTTCTGATTTTCTTCCCTTTTGTTGCGAATTGAGGTGGTAGTAGAGCAGGTAGCAACGTTCCCTTGGGCACACGCACTGCGCCATCGCGTCCAAAGGGTATCGAATCCACCTCCCTGAAATGCATTGCCTGAGTCAGCAGCACCCGCATCTGCTTCTGCTGCACGCCACTCCCCGGCTCCCCACACCCCACCTCCACCTTGTCCAAGCCCCCCATGCTTCCCCCCTTGGGCGCCTGCGCACACAGCTTAGCCAGCTGGCCCCACGCCGAGACTGTAGCGGCGCGAGAACGAATCACAAAGAAGCTAGATGCCACGTCAGCAGTGTCAAGGTGGCCCCACATGTCCACGTCAGCAGGGATGAGCCCGAGGGCCTCGGTGGCCATGGGGTCACCCCGCCACACGGCGTCCACATTGCTGAGGGACACATCAAAGCCCTGCGACAGCGCTGCCACCACCACCTCTATGTGCCTCGCCGTCCACCTGCTGCGCGCCCCCCCTCCCTCCACTCCCTCCTCTGCTCCCTCCTCCTCAACCCCCTCGCCCTCCCCCTCCACTTGCCCGCCAGTATCCACCTCCTCACCCTCCTCCTCCTCCAACCCCTCCTTCTCCCTCACTGCTTTCACCCCTCCCCTCGCTGTCAGCTGTCCCAGCCCCTGTGCCACCTGGTGCCTGCTGAGTGGCGGCAGATGGAAGGCAGCGAAGCCACGTGCGGACAGCTCAGCTGCCAGGCTGGCGTGGGGGACGATGAGGACGAATGAGCGCAGGCTGCTGCCGTCAAGGTGGCAGAGCCAGTTGTTGACCTCGTCCCTGCCGCCCGTCGGCACCACCACCAGCGACACCCGCTTGTCCTGCATGCCAGGGGGTGGGGGAAGGGGAGAAGACGGGGAGGGAAGGAAGGGCAGAGAGCAGCAGGGAAGAGAGTGAGTCGTTGGCGAGGCATGGGATGAGACGCGACGCGCTGGAGTGAGAGCAGAGAGCAAGACAGAGCAGAGCAGAGAGCAGGGCGGTGCACCTGGGCGACGGCGGAGAGGAGGGAGTGCAGGTCGGGCAGGGAGTGCCCCACGGGGAGGTGCGGCAGCTCGCGAGCACACAGGTCGAAGCGCCTCACGCGCGCCATGCTCGGCAGCGGCCCCTCCATCCACGCCCTCACCGCCCCCTCCACCCCCCCCTCCCCGCCCCCTCCCCCGCTTCCCCCAATCCCCCCACCCGCACCCGCCCCCATCCCTGGGAGCAGCGGCACGAGGGGGGCGTCAGAGGGGGGGGCGGCGCGCTTGAGGGGGAAGGCGAGGGAGAGGTTGGCGGGGAGGGGCGGGTAGAGCGAGAGCATGGCGGTGCTGTGCGCCCACTTGATGGCCCACGGCGACCACCTCCTGTTGCCCTGTGCACACGCGCACGAGGGGCATTGGAGGGGAGAATGGTGGTTGGAGAGAAGAGACGTGGCAGGCAATGACACAGCGGCGCGGCCTCAACTACCCATCACCTCTCACCTCTCCCTTCCCCACCTGCCCCCTTACCCTTTGCCCCTCTCCCCCATCCTCCCCCCACCTTGTCGCGGAACCACTGGGTGGTCTTGAGCCCGCCCACAAGGGGCTGCCGGCTGCCGTTGTACCGCCGCTCGTCCAGCCACAGGCGGAACTGCCGCCACGGCCCGGGCAGCAGCGCCTGCCCCCACGTGCCCGTCACGGCGTACAGGAACGGCGCGCCGTGCGCCAGCGGGGGGAGTGGGTCGGCGCCCAGCCCGGGCACGAAGGACTGGCGCTGCAGCGACACGCCCAGCACGTGCGGGTCGAAGTCCGCGCGCCGGAAGTAGTACCGCGCCAGGAGGCGCTTCAGGTAGCGGTAGTACAGCGGGGAGACTACCACGTGGTCCTCCACCATCAGCGCCACGTCAGCGAGGCTCTCCGGCCACCACGCCTCCACCCACTGGCCCTGCACGCCTGCGCTCTGCGATCGGTACATCACGCGCTTCGGCCCGTGCGGCCACGCGAACGCGTCGATCTGCGCCATTAGGAAATGGGAGGCCGCCACGCGTCTCGCGGCGCGCGGCGACCAGGGCGCGGCGTCGGCGCGCAGCGCGAAGGGGTGGTCGACGAAGACGTCCAGATGGACGGGCTCCGCGTCGTACAGCGCCGCCGCCAGCGCGCGCAGGCAGCGGAGCGCGTACGCGGGGCGGTCGAAGACGAGTACCTTCACGTGCAGGCGGAACCGCGCCGGGTCCACCTTGCCGTCGCCCAGCCCGCCGTACGCCCACGCCACCCCCGCTGGTAACCGCCACGCGCGGCCGGGCAGCGCTACGACGCTGTCGTTGATGTATGCTGACGCGGCGGACGTCGATTGGTCGGCCGGCTGAAGCGAGTCGTCGTTGCGGCAGGGGAGTTCGGTGGGACGCGGTGCGTGGACGCGCAGGTCGAGCCAGATGCGGAGCGACGCGGACAGCAGCAGCGCCGCGAACACGATTTCTGTGAATCGGTTGCGCTCAGTGACGGCGGTCATGGCGGCCGACAGAAAACGAGGCTTACCGCCTTCCGACGACGACGATCGCGTCGCGATCTTGGGGGAGCCGCTGTGACGCGGCTGAAGGGACGCCATGAGGGAAATGTCGCCGCGCGTTGATGCTCGTGCTTTATCGAGTTGATGACGGCAGCATTGCTCCGGCAATTAGACAGACTTACGATGAGTGCGATGCGATCGTTGGACCTAAATATCCTTGTATTGATAAGATGCTTGGTATCTCGAAAGTCGGGCTAGAAATAAATATCGAAGCTTGAATTTATGGCAGAATAAGGGTTACGTGCTGCAGCGAATCTGCGAAATGACGACGGTTCTGGTGCTGGTTAGTGTGTTTCGCATTTTGGCAGTGTTCGATTTTGCTTGAATTCGCGAGTTCGCTCCGGCTCTAGCTTGATAGGTGACGGGACAACAACCTTCGCCACAGTTCGCCACGTTCTGCCAATGCCTTACACAGCCACGCAAGACTGTTGTCAGCGGCACCCATTTTCTGTCCATCAAACGCCACAAATTTGAGACAAGGCGGGGAGGCTGTCGAGCCGAGGCATGTCATGTCAGGCTTGGTTGGATGGAGGGGAAGTGCTCCGGGCAGGCATCGCATCGCTCCACCACACAAACACTCTCATTTTGCTAATCATTCCGAACCACAAAACTTAATGGAATCGGTGCAATGCGGTACCGTGAACTTTTTTCCACCATCGGGTCCTCCTCCTCCCTCCTGACTCCCTGCATCCCGCCCTCGCCTCCCCTCTTGAACCGTCATTCTCGGCTCGCTCAGTCCAACCGCACTTCTAGGGTTTCAGCTCATTAGGTGTCTTAGAGGCTAGTCTTAGAAGAAACTAGTGCAGAAATGGTTGGCTGGCGACCGTGGTGGCCCAAGCCGCGTCCGAAGCCTCACGACGCGGCGGAGGATCTTAATCCGGTGCTGCTTATACCGGGGATTGGAGGCTCTATTCTTAACGCGGTTAGCGAAGACGGGAAGAAGAAGGAGCGGATATGGGTCCGACTTTACAACGCGGACCACGAGTTCCGCACAAAGCTTTGGTCCAAATATAACCCTAAAACAGGTTAGAGTTCTTCCGCTGCGGAAACTATTTTTTTAACTCATGCTTCCAGTCGTCTTACCCGCTCACCCGCGCACCCGCTCCTCCCACTCCCCCGCTCCTCCCACTCCCCCGCTCCCTGCCCTCCCGCGCGCGGCGGGTGGTTGTCGCAGGCAAGTCGGAGTCGCTGGACGACAAGTCGCACATCGAGGTGCCGGACGACAATCACGGGCTCTACAGCTGCGACATCCTCGACCCCGATGTCGTAAGCACCGCCTACGTTCCACGCCGTAAGCATTTGATAGCTTTGACGTCGTGAGCATCTGTTACCTTCCTCGTCGTAAGCGTTCTCTGTGCTGCGTGCGGATTATGAGTCCAGCGAGTGCTCGCTCTCTTGCCGTCGCTGCTCGGGAATGCTCCGTGCTGCCTCTCACACCCACCCGGTCTCATCTCCAAAACACCCTTCCCCATCGTCACCCCATCTCCCCGCCGGTCCCCTCGTTCCACGTGGCAGTCGGTACCGTTGGACGTGGTGTGCTACTACCACCACACCATCGTCGAGATGCGCAAGTGGGGCTTTAAGGACGGCGAAACGCTCTTCGGCTTCGGCTACGACTTTCGGCAAAGCAACCGGTCCGCCTCCCACACCGCGTTCTCGTTTCTTTTCAGTTTCAAGAAATTGAAAGTTCCCTTTCTGTTTTATGTGTCAACTACATCTTCTTTTTTTTATCTAACCGTATACCGCTCTCTCGGTTGCCACCTGGCGCATCCACGTGGCAGGCTGCCGGAGACGCTGGACCGGCTGCGCGCGCGGCTGGAGGCGATAGTGGCGGCGACCGGGCGGCGCGTGGACGTGGTGACGCACAGCATGGGCGGGCTGCTCTTCAAGTCGCTCGTCGCGCTGCATCCCGCCGACGCCAAGCGCCTCGTGCGCAAGTGGGTCTCCATCGCCGCGCCCTTCCGAGGTGCGCGCGGACACGAGCGGGGGCGGTAGCGCGCGCAGGGGGGGGGGGGGTGTGGGGGGCACGGAAATGGCGGTTGAGTTGAGCGAACTGCTTGTGTCAGTCGGCGTGCGTCTGTGAGGAGCGTCGCGGGATGTGCGTCGCCACCGCTCCTCCGCACCCGTTCCTTTCCTCTCCCTCTCCCTCTTCCTCTCCCTCTCCCTCTCCCTCTCCCTCTCCCCCTCCCCCTCCCACGCCCTCTGCCTTGTACATGTCCTCCCATGCCCTCGCTCTCTATCGCTCTCGCCCTCCGGCTCATGTCCTCCACCTCGCCTCACTCCCACTCCCCTTGCGTGTCCCGCCCGTCCCCTCCGCGCGGCCGTGGCAGGCGCGCCGGGGTTCATAATGGACACGCTGCTGACGGGGGTGGAGTTCCTCAAGGGCTGGCAGAAGTCGCTCTTCATCTCCAAGTGGACCATGCACCAACTCGTACGTTATGTGGACCATGCACCAACTCGTACGTTATGTGGACCATGCACCAACTCATACGTTATGTGGACCATGCACCAACTCGTACGTTATGTGGACCATGCACCAACTCGTACGTTATGTGGACCATGCACCAACTCGTACGTTATGTGGACCATGCACCAACTCGAACGTTATGTGGACCATGCACCAACTCGAACGTTATGTGGACCATGCACCAACTCGTACGCCCTCCCAATCCCGCTCCTCTCCCTCCCGTTTCCCTCCCCCCCCTTCCCCCCCCCAACCACCCCACTCCTCTCCCCAACCCCACCACCTCCCCCCCCCCCCTCCTCCCCGCTTGCTCGTGCTCGTAATAAAATGTTATGTTTTTTTTTTTTTTTTTTCAGCCATTTGCTTGTCATTTGTAAGAGACATGGTTCTTGCACCTAGTTCTCAAAATCCTGGAATGAGACATGCGTTGATGAAGAATCTTAGGTGATCTATGCAAAAACGTAGTGAAGGTGCATGCAAGTGACATACCCGTTGAGTGTTGATAACCGTATCCTTTTCCTTAAGATCCTTCATGAGCAAAAGGATACGGTTATCAACGCTCAACACTTGCATGGTACCTTTGTTACGCTTTTGAATAGATCACCTAAGATTCTGCATCGCATGCGTGCTGCGCGCATGCGTGGGCTTGGCGCGCAGATGATGGAGTGTCCGTCGGTGCACAAGCTCATGGCGGACTATGACTTCCACTGGGGCGGCTGCGCGCCCCTCTAGATGCTCCTCTGACCTCTCCATCCCCCTTTCCTTGCGCCTCTCGTGCGCGCATCCGTCCGTGCGCGCATGCGTGGTGGCTTGGCTGGCAGATGGTGGAGTGCCCATCGGTGTACGAGCTCATGGCGGATTACGACTTCCACTGGGGCGGCCAGAAGCCCGAGCTGCGCATCGTGCGCCGCCAGCCCGACACCAAGGCGCATGGGGAGAGGGACGTGTGTGGCGGAGCAGAAGCGGAGTCGGATAGTGAGAGCGAGAGTGGGAGCGAGAGAGACAGCAGCATCGGCAGCAGCAGTGGGAGTGGCGGCGACAGCGAGGCGTGCAGTGGGACAGAGTCCGTGGCAGGCGATTGCACCCCGCGGAGGGCAGGGGGCGAGGGGGTGGTGGAGAGCGTGGTGGGCGAGGGCGTGGTGGAGCAGCGCTTCACTCGCCTGCCCGACATCCTGGCTGCCATGGACAGAGCACTGGAAGGCAATAAGGTGCGCTGCAGGGCACATGGCAGGGTGTAGCAGGTGCAGGCAGGGTTTTGCTGATCTTCCTGGCGCCCCAGCAACTCTGTCTGCTTTGTTTCTGTTCATTCCCACCCATACTAGCCATGCCATGTGGCACGTGCCATGTACCCCCTGTGTATTATACCGCTCCCGTGCATCACCTGTGCTGCGTGCGCCATGCGTCTCCCCATGCTTGGGTGCATGCAGATAGAGGTGAACGGGCGCACGGTGCCGCTGCCGTTCAACCGGGACATCGTGAGGTGGGCGGACGAGACAAGGCGCATCTGGGCCGGGGCGCGCCTCCCGCCGTCCATTGACTTCTACACCGTCTATGGCACCGGCCTCGACACGCCCTTCCACTCCCAGTACGCCCCTCGCTCTCCCTCGCCATCCTTTTCTCCTTCCTGCCCTTCCCTGTTAATCCTTCCCTTTTGCACTCATTGTTCTTGTATCGACTCCTTCACTCCTGACTCATGCTTCAAGCATGTAACCGTTTGCTTGCCCTCCCCATGGCTGCGACCCTTCCTCCCTGTGAGCACAGGTATGGGTCGCCCAAGGACCCGCTCAACGACCTGCCCGACATCCTCCACTCCGATGTGAGCCGCCCCTCCACAGCCCCCGACCACCCCTCTCCCGCCCCTCCACAGCCCCCGACCACCCCTCTCCCGCCCCTCCACAGCCCCCGACCACCCCTCTCCCGCCCCTGCTGCTCGCCCTCTCTCGCTCTCGCCTGTCTGTGCCGCTCTGCTTCGCCCACCTGCCTTGAAGTTTCACCCTCGTTCACCCGGTGTGCCGCCCCATGCCTCCCACCCGCCATGTGGCAGGCCACCTTTGACTGCGTGCACGGCGACGGCACCGTTCCCATCGAGTCCGCCCTCGTAAGCTACACTGCCCTCTGCTCCCACTCCCTCCCTCCCTGCCTCGCCTCTTCGTGTGTCTGCCGCACTCTCTCCCGTTCTCCCTCCCCGTCCTTCCCTGCTTTCGTCCCTGCCTCTCTCTATTTCTCCAACTCCTTATCCGCCACCCCTCCATGCCACCCACCCTCTTCAACCCCACCCACCCTGGCACACACGGCAGGGGGACGGCTTCCCGGCGCGCTTCCGAGTGGGAGTGCCGGGAGCGGAGCACCGCGAGCTGCTGCGCCTGCCGCGCGTATTCAGCCTGCTGCACTTCTTCCTGGAGGTCAAGGGCAAGGACCCCCTCTACGACCCCCTCTCCGACTTCGTCATCATCCCCCGCCCCCTGGGGGCTGCAGAGGAGGAGCAGGGGGAGAGCGAGGGGGAAGGGGAGGAAGAGGAGGAAGGTGGGAGTGGGGTGGGATTGATGTATGGGGAGAAGGGGGGGGGTATGGATGGGAGGGAAGTGGGGGGTGAGAAGGGGGGGAGGGAAGTGGCGGTGAGAGTGGAGGTGCGGGGGCAGGCGGTGCGGGCGGTGGTGTGTGAGACAGAGGCAGGGAAGGGCACGGTGTGTGTGTCTCTCTCATCCACCTTGACATCTCCTGACAGAACTGAAGGTGTGTACCTTATATATGTACACTATTTGCTACTTGCGCCTTTTTTCTCATCCTCCTTCAGTGCCTTCCTTTGACCGACCAGCCTATTAATTTTCTTCTCTTATTTGGTTGTGTCGCAGTGTCATGCTGCTTTGGCATCTGTCAGCGATAATCCCTCTTCATTCATTCCTCAAGGGTACGCCAGTGGCAAGCTGAGTGTGTGACTCCAACACCAGCCAGAAGTTCACAAACAAGAAACTGTAGTATCTCTCATCTCATCCTTCCTCCATGTGCATATACGGTACCTGTCTTGTTTTTTCTCTTATTTCTTGTACATAATTCTTTCTATTGACTAGAGCCACGTCACTTTGTACCCTCTAAAAAATCTTGGGTCTTCCACTGTTGTGAAGTGGTACTGGTATGCAGATGAAATACCCCTTGACGTGCAAGCAAACATCCACAAATGAAACATGTGCACTTTTATTCCCCTTCAACCCTCGACTTGTCGTACACGTCGTTCTCCCCGTCATTGTCGCATCACAGTCGCACACTGTTCTGCTACCCCTCCCCGCTGATGGCGTGTTTCATGTTCACCAACAGCTGTGCTTGACGTGGGTTGGCGGAAACAAACCCTCCAACCCACGTGATTTCGAGTTCGACGACCCACGTGCCCAAACTCGTTACCCAGCGTTGCTGCTTGTGCTTTGAATCGCAGGTCTCTGCGCTCACCACCACCCGCGTCACTTCCTCGTCGCGCACTGTCGCGGCGGCCCGGCATGGAGGTGAAACGGTCGCAGCAGTGGAAGTACGTGCTACTGGCAGCGGTGGGGGGCGTGCTGGCGCTGCTGCGGCTGATCAGTCCCGTGCAGGCCAGCTGCCTCGTCATGCTCGCCTATATCCTCTCGCGCCGCCACTCCAACGAGATCCAGCGCCAGTGGGAACGCGCGCAGGCCGCCAAGGAGGCGCAGCGGAGGGCGGAAGAGGAGGCCCTGGCGGCGCTTCCTGCGCGGAAGCGGAAGGCGATTCAGCGCGCGCGGGCGAAAGAAGCGGCGAGCGCGGAACAGGCGGGGCAAGACGCAACGGAGGACAGCGACGAGGGTAGCGACCAATAGCGCGCAGCCGCACGGACGCACTGATGGACGTACATGGCGCTGGCGCACGAGTAGAAGATCTCAAGAAGTCATGGTATCTGCTGCGCTTGACGAGATGCTCTCGTGCTTTCGCTCCCGCGCCCGACGCCCGACGCCCGCGGGACGGCATGTACTCCACATTTGGGGGCGCTGATTGTGAGATCTGGGTTTACCCGCTGCGGCAGCAGAGAGAGTAAGTGGGTGATGGGGCTGGGGGAGCCTAGGAAGAGCTGCACAGCAGTGAACAGCGCATGTAGCTCATTGGAGGCCCAGACAGAAGTAGGAAATGACAGCTTGGCAAGTTGTGAAGGCGCTCTGACAAACAACCGTATCTATCGTGTTGAATTCAAGCTCTTAGTTGGCGAGCTGCCTCCCCGCTCCTCTGATTGTTCAGCACTAAGTTTGCTGCAATGTGGCTCTCTTGTTTGCTTAGCAACTATACGGTCAAGGTGATTTAGCTGTCAATTTCTTACTGGAAGCCTTGGTTGTGGTACCGCATGCGGAAACCAACGGAAGGCCACATTCCAGTCTTCCACATCTCTAGTTGGACTCGTTGGTGGACCCGCTCTCTGCAAGATGCATACCAGCAGGGGTTTTTTTATCAGAGTAAATTACTCTGTTTCTCTGAAAATCAGAGTGGTTTTTAGGGGGTCACTCTGACGTGTCTGGGTAAGTTTTTTGGAGGATAAGTTTTCTCTGATTTGTCAGGGTTCTGATTTTAGCTACTCTGAGAGACCAATGTATATTTAGAAAGCTTGCTTTCTCTTACTTATCATTTGGCATCGTTCTCATTTCAACTGGCAAATTACAACATGCACCTCGAGCTAGGAAGCAGACGTGCTAGTACATGTTACTATACTGCGTATCAATCATTGTACTAGCGATTCCTCATGCTACTTGATGTCTATCATGCTACAAGCTATCGATCTTCTCGTTCAAGCAGCGTCGATGATGCCCGTCAGTGTTGGGGCGGGGGGTGGGAGAGTTGCATGAGCCGTTGGAAAACGAGAGACGTGGGTGGAGGGAAATGAGCTCCAACCCACGATTTGTAGTTGGAGAAGGGCGTTTAGCGCGCTTCGACGATGCCAAAACATGCGTTACAAGCAGCTGCGCTTTCGAAATACGTAATTTTGAAAAACACTTCGTGTGTTTAAAAATTATAATATTTAGAAAGCTTGCTTTCTCTTACTTATCATTTGGCATCGTTCTCATTTCAACTGGGGTTCTTGAGACATGGGTAGCCGGGCTTCCGATGACGGATGAGTGCCTCTGCGTGCTGTGCTGAGGACGGGGCATGATTCAGGTCCTGCAACTTGCGGGAGGCGTTGATGAGATGTTCGGCATTTGGCGTGACGTACATCTCCTTGGCTGCGTCACTACGCCATCGGCCCAGCCGTTTGAAGATTCTGTCTGGCACGCCGGTGTTTGCCGCGGCAGTGGCTGCACCCTTGCGAAAGGAATGAGTGCCCAGCTGTTGTTCTCCAAGTCCGATCTTCCCAAAGGCCTCTTTGCACCAGTTTCGGATTGTCGGATACGACGGTGGCCTTGATTGGCCACCTTCGGTGGAACCATGACCGAAGGTGCGAATCAGCGGCCCCCTTGATTGCTGATCATATCCGGCGAGTCGAATGAGTCGTTGAGTGCCGCGGACAGGGCAGAACGGATCGTGTGTTGCGGCGATAGGTATCCATGTGCCTTTTCCAGCTTGGTCCGTCTTAGAGTACGGAATTATGATCCACATGACCTCGTCGTCAAACTGGATGTCTTGCCACTCGATGGCGACGAGGTCTGAGTATCGCAGGAATCCGGAGTACATGAGAATGGGGATGAGCCCCTTTTGGAATTCGCCGGAGTTGTCAGATCGCAGGTATCCTGCCGACATGTCACGGACTTGTTGCAGCGAGACTGGCTCCTTCACTCTCGTGGGGCGAGGACAGTGTCGTTTCGCAAAGTCGCGTACTTGAGTGGTGAATGGTCCTGCCGTTGGGCATGCGCTCCCAGTCATGCGGTGGGCGAAGCTCACGGCTGAGCAGGTGAGTTGTACCATGGATAGGGTGGCCTTGCGTTTGATGGCGTACACCAGGTATAGTGCGAGGGTCATGTCTGCCGCGGGGAGGAATGGGAGGTCCACCTTTGCACAGAAGGCTCGAAACTTGACCCAGTATGGCTCGTACGTTTGGATCGTTGAGTCAGCATGAGACTGTGAGAGCATCTTTAGAAGCTGTACTTGTAGCTTTGGCAGTATGTCTGCGCGAAGGAGGACGAGATGGGTTAGTTGAAGACCACTCGTAATGCGACGATTGTACTATGAGGCAATCCTGTGCCTGAGAAAGCGGTGCGGTGCGAGCCTACTGCTAAACATTGGCTGCCGTGCGTCAAGGGAATTTGTGCTTGGATATGCGGGGCCCAGCTAGGTGGGGAGGGTTGTAGGAGCGGCCACCAGGTTGCCCCTGGCCAATGTGGGACAACGAGGGTGAGTGAGGCGTGGGTGCGTTGTGCGTGGTGGATGACTGCTGGGATTAACTGGGGTGGCGGGAACGCGAAGCCATTCTCGGTCGACCATGAAATCGAGAATGCGTCGATTGCAGTGGCCTCCGGGTGTGGTATCTTTGAGCAGAATCGTGGCAGCTGCGAGTTGTTTGGGCTTGCGAAAAGGTCGATTGAGTGGGGACCCCAACGACGATTGAGGATGCGGAACCATGGTTGTTTCAAGGAGTAATCGTCGTGGTCGATCATTTTGGACAGCTCATCTGCATGGGAGTTTAGCTCGCGCGGGATCCATTCAACAATTAATCGAGTGCCGAGCTCCATGCACGTGCAGATGATGTCCTTGCAAGCGGTGGTGAGGTCGGGGGTGCGAGAGCCGCCTTTGCGGAGGATGAAAAAGACCCCTTGGTTGTCCACCCTCACGAGCACGTGTTTTTGCTGAACCTTGTTCGCGTACGTTCGAAGGGCCCAAAGGACGCCTTCAATTTCCCTCCGAGTGCTGGACGTCATTCGCAATGGTTCTGGCATGGCTGCGCTTGCCTCTTCGAGTTCACCAGGGAAGGTGAGAAGGGTGGCGCCCCAACTATGAGAGCTGGCGTCCACGTGAATTACCGCGTCATAACTATTCCGAACGTGGAATGGTGCGCCATTAAATTTGTCGAACTCTTCAAGCCAGAACTGCAACTCTTCAGCAACGGGGGGAGAAATGCTCAAGCTGCTTCCCCAGGATGGCGCGTCGTTAATTGCTTGTAGCATGGCGTGGCTGAATGCACGCGTCGTGGCGCCGAGTGCGACGGCCATCGACGCGAGTGTGCCGGTGATTCTGGCCAGGTGGCGGACTGGAACCTGTCGGCGCGCTTTGCTTGCGTCCAGTAGGTTCCGAATGTGTGCGTGAAGTGATGCCCGTCGATCGGTGCCAATTGAGAATTGACCAGATTTGGTGTCCAACTCGACGCCCAAGAATCGCAGATGTTGGGATGGCAGCAGCTGCGACTTTTTCGCGTTAATCACCAAGCCCGCCATCTTGAGGTCCGAAATTATATGCTGGCATGTTGCTTGTGCGTGGGCCTTGGACGTGCATAAGAACAGGATGTCGTCCACATAGGGTATCACTCGAACGCCTTGTTCACGCCCTCGCCTGGCTAGTTGTTTGATGAGCTGCGTGAAGACAAATGGTGCCGTGGCGAGGCCAAAGGGTAGTGAACGGAAGGCGTACGTACGCCCTTCAAATTCGAAGCCCAAGAATTTCCAGCAAGAGTTGTGTATGTCGATATGGTGGTATCCCGATTTGAGGTCGATGGAGAACATCCAATCTCCCATGCGTGCCAGGTCGGCCACGCGGCTTAGGCCTTCGTATTTGAATTTAGGGATGATCAGGTGCGCGTTCACTTTTCTGAGGTCGAGGATTAGCCTGCATTTTTCTCGTTGCTCAACCACGTTGAGTGGGCTTATGCATGTGAGCTCCGCTGCTGGGGTGACCACCGCCGCGCCGGTCTCGGTAAGTTCGCGAATGGCAGTGCGTGTGAACGCAGCATGCGTGTGCGCCCCGAGGTGGTTGCGCTCGTGAAACGGTTGTGGTGGGTTGTGGCTCCATGGCAGCCAGTAACCGTTAGCGATGACGGAGAGGATGAGGCTGCTGGGGCACCACGAGCTCCACCATGCAAGGGTTGCGCGAAGCCGCCCGCGCATTTGCGTGACAGATTTGTCAGTGACGGCGAACTCGTACGGATCTCCGTCGCCTAGCGTCTCGTGTCGTGTTATCTCTGCATGTTTGCCGAGTGACAATGGCGCAGAGGTGTTAGAATGCAAGCCATCGTGTCTCAGGAATGTGCATGCGATAACGCGTGCGTAGACACATCAACAAGTCGTAATCATCGTTTGTCACCCATGTGTGACGCGGTTCGCCTCTCTCTCCCCTCTCGCTCTCTCTCTCCCTCTCTCCCTCTCTCTTTCTCTCTCTCTCTCTCTCTCTCTCTCTCTCTCTCTCTCTCTCTCTCTCTCTCTCTCCCTCCCTCTCTCTCTCTCTCTCTCTCTCTCTCTCTCTCTCTCTCTTTCTTTCTCTCTCTCTATCTCGCTCTCGTTCACTCTTTGCATTTGCTCTTGCTTTCCCTTTATCCATGACATGCCTTTTTGGCTCGTGGCCAATATAAAGGCTACCAATGCCAACGAATGGTGGGGCCGTTTGCTCGGGTTCGTGTGGGTGCTTGCCATTTTGTCGCTCTCTGGTTTTTTTTTTTTTTTTTTTTTTTTGTCATCCAAAGCCAAGATCAGAAAGTACTTTTTAAAAAATAAAGCCCTTATAAGAAACGGGCCACACATAGCAATGCTTCCTAGCATGCATCCGCCCCGCACCGCACGGGCCAAATTATGAGACCAAAGGGCTTTCTAGTCCCTCTCCTGCCACCTAGGCCTATAGCCTAATCATCACCCCTAACTAGGGCTTGGCTCATAGCCACCGCAAACCCCTTTGGGTTGCCCACGGTCAACGCACTTGA